CATTCTACATAGTTGTCTACACTCGTGCATTTGCTTATGCCTCTTACATCACACACACACACACACACACACATACACACACACAATGTTGCGTTTTTGTTTTTTTCCTTCTGTAACCAACCTTTTACCCAGTGGCGGCTACTACCCCAGCGCGTGGTCGCTCATTTTCTTGTTTGTGTCTGTATAGTTTGGGAGACACTAGAGACATCTTTAGCATAGGACTGCTAGGTATAGGTTACACTGTCATATCCTGTTTGTTCCAGTTGAAATTGCCATGGAGCTTTCGGTAGGCCATCAACAATCATGCATGTCCCATGTTAGGGTCCATGATACCTAACAGGATTTCTATATTTCTATTAACCACTCCTTTGTTTAACAAGGGCAGGGAACAAGAATATTTGAAAACATTTAATGATCACGTTTGGCTAACGGCCTAAAAGTGTAACGGCTGAGTTGAGGATCATGGGATATTGATGGATACGCTTACTAATGGCTGCTGTCTTTGCGGTCTCCGACCGACGTGCTTGTGTTACGGCTGCCTACCATATGTGCACACAGCTCTTCACAGGGTAAGAGGCCAACAGCCGTTCACGCTGTGGAGGGAACACAGAGCTAATTTCTGAGTAGTTTTACATCATGAACTCTGTAGCAGCCACACACCCTTCTATTCAAATATTTTGGACTTTTGGGGGAAGAGAAGTTTCTTTTTTTATCATTTATTTTTTATTTGCTTTATACCCCGATCCCTGCTTCTTCCCAGTCCCCCCTCACGCAGTCCCTCCCCCATTCCCCATCCCTTTCCCCTCTGAGAGGGTGGAGTCCTCCTCTGAGTGTCCCCCTACCCTGTCACATCAAGTCTCTGCAGGGCTAGGTGCATCCTTTCTCTCTGAAGCCAGATAAGGCAGCCCAGTTGGGGGAACATATTCCACAGACAGGCAACAGCTTTAGGGATAGCTTCTGCTCCAGATGTTGAGGTACCCACCCAAAGTCTGAGCTGGACATTTGCTACATATGTGCGCGCATGGGGGTATGTTTCAGCCCACCCCATATATGCTCTTTGGTTAGTGGTTCAGGCTCTGAGAGGATCTGTTTCAGTCTGCTGCTGGGTGGGGCCTCTCAGAGGACAGTTATGCTAGGCTCCTGTCTACAGGTATAACAGTATCATTAACAGTGGCAGGGACTGGAGCTTGCCCATGGGATGGATCTCAAGTTGAGCCTGTTATTGCTTGGCCATTCCCGCAGTCTATGTTCCATCCCCTGTCCCCGCATTACTTGCAGACAGGAAAAGTTTGGTGTTGAAAGTTTTGTGGGTGGGTTGGTGTGCCTATTGCTCCACTGGGGTTCCTGCCTGGCTATAGGAGGTGGCCTCTTCAGGTTTCATATCCCCACTGCTGTGATTCTCAGCTAAGGTCACCCCCATAGATTCTTAGGAGCCTTCCTCATCCTAGGTCTCTGGCTTTTCCTCGAGATGTCCTGTACCCTACCCCACCCAGCTTCATATTTCCATCCATTCTCCTGGTCCTCTGGCCCTCTCTCCTGTCTGTCTCCACACTTGATCGTTGTACCACCTCCACTGCCCTCCCCTTCCCCTCTCATACCCAGTTCCCTCCCTCTATCTGCCTCCTATAACTATTTTATTCTGCCTTCTAAGCAAGTACCCTCGCTTGGGCCTTCCTTTTTGTTTAGCTTCTTTGGGTCTGTGGAGCACAGCATGGGTATCCTGTACTCTTTGGCTAATATCCATTTATAAGTGAGTACATATCATGTATGTCCTTTTGGTCTGGGTTACCTTACTCAGAATGATATTCTCAAGTTCCATCCATTTGCCTGTGAAATTCGTGATATCTTTGTTTTTAATAGCTGAATAGTATTTCATTGTGTAGGTATACCACATTTTCTTTATCCATTCTTTAGTTGATGGACATCTAGGTTGTTTCCAGCTTCTGACTATTATCAGTAAAGCTGCTATGAACATAGTTGAGCAAGTGTCCCTCTGGTTTGGTGGGCATCTTTTAAATATATGCACACGAGTGGTACAGCTGGGTCTCGAAGAGCTATTCCCAGTTTTCTGAGAAACCACCAAATTGATTTCCAGAGTGGTTGTGCAAGTTTGCACTCCCACCATCAAAGGAGGAGTGTTCCCCTTGTTCCACAACCTCACCAGCATACACTAACAATTGAGCATTTGATCTTAAGCATTTTGACGAGTGTAAGGTGGAATCTCAGGGCTGTGTTGATTTTCCTTTATCAGATAGACTAAGGACACTGGACATTTCTTTAAGTGCTTCTCAGCCATTCAAGATTCCTCTATTGAGAATTCTCTGTTTAAAGAGCAGTTTCTTAATTTCCCTTTCTGTTGCTGTGATAAAATACCCTGACCAAAGCACCTTGAAGGGAAAGACAGTTTATGTGGCTCACAGTTGTGGATTGTAGCCCATCACTGCCAGGAAGTCAAGGCCGTGGGAATTTGAAGCAATTGGTAACATTACATGCAGTCAAGCAGAAAGGACTTAATGGATATATGCTAGTGTTTGGCTCAGTTTTTCTACTCATGCAGTTTAGGATTTCCTGCTTAGAGAATGCTGAAGCCACAGTGGACTGGCTTCCCCCTTATGAAGATACCCCCTCCCATCCAGTCCCAGGAGACAAACCTACAGACTAACCTGATTTGGACAATCCCTCACTAAAACCCAGGGAATTCAACATTGTGTCAAGATGTCAATTAAAGCCAACTGCTGTAGGTTCTAAGTGCAAGGCTGGGAACTTGGAGAGAAGAAAGTACTGCCGGATACCAATAGAAACCAATTGCCGGTTTATCTATTTATTTATTTACCTTAAATAAGTCTCACCCATAACAGGAAGCAGGAAATAGGCTAACCTGATTGACAGCAGCTCATGTTTCTCTCCAGTGATCATGGAATATAAAGAGTGGAAGGCAAATCCCTAGTGTCAACAGACTCAGATTTCCTGAGTTGGGAAACAGGGCTGTGTGAATGGGAACAGCGGTCAAATCTGTGTCTGTGCTGATCTCCAGGTCATTTGTGGGGGAAACTAGCATTCCGCCCCTCTGTGGCCGACCCCTCTTTCCTAATCCCTTTTTTCAATCATTTCCTTACTCTGTGACATGTCCCCACAATCTGGCTTATTAAATAACACATTGACAACACGGTGAGACATGCTCATTCCTTCATTCTGGGAATCTTAGCTACTCCTGCCCCTTTGCATATGTGTAATTCTGGCTATTAAAAACTGGTTTTCAGAATACAGACGATTTTTAAAAATTATCTTATTCTTCATGAAAGCATGATTACGTCATTTCCCTCTTTCCTTCGTCTAACCTCTTCTATCCCCCTGCCTCTCAAATACAACCTGCTGAGCCTCGTTTGTGCTTCTAGAGCTTTTAGGGCTGCCCCCCTCGGGATTAGCTCACCAGCTAGGGGCCTCGTGCCTGGAGAACACTAATTCTCCCCCTTTCGAAGAGCATAACCGATGTAGCTCTCCGTCTGGGGCAAGGCCGCTGTGCAGCTCTTCTTCAGGCCTCCATGTTGTTGAGACCCCATGGATGTAGCTACCCCATCTTATCTGGAAGACAGGATCTAGACTCTGACTTCCTGGTCCTATGATCTCAGCCATCTTCACACCTCCCCTTCTTTGATGTGACTTTAGCCTTACTGAGGTTAGGATTACAGGTGAGCCTGCATACCTACCCAGCATTTACGCGGGTTCTGGGATCCAAACTACAGTTCCAAAGCTTGCTCAGCAAGAATTTGAACTACTGATCTAGCTCCCAGCACCATGGAGTTCCCTGCTCACTGCTGTGTGGTACTGGGCTTCCGCATGCACAGTGCTTCTGTAGCTAGTCTCCTAAAGGTGGATGCCGAGAAGTCAGATTTCTACAAGGGAAACCCAGGATGGTCTATGCTGCCTTGGACGGCGTTTGAGACCGTTCCTGTGGATTTCTACAACCATGGTGACGATTTGTGGGTGCTAAGGACATTTTCTGCAAGAAATCTGTGTTGGAGTTCCCGCAGTCTCGCCAACTGTGTGGAGCCGGAGGTGACGCTCACTACGGGAACGAAACGGGATTTAGTTTGCTCGCTCCTCGTTATCGAGGAGTTTTAGCTTCTGTGAGGGGTTTGTTTTGTTATCAGCATGAACTCTTCTGTGTCTATAGCATCTGGCCATTATTCTATGTAGGCTGTTTGTCCCTGTTTTGAGTGAACAAACAGGCACAAGAAGAGCATCATGGTCAAGCCTAACAGAACAACCCATGACAGGAAGTCGTCCATCCAGGGGGAAACTGATGGCTGCAGCAGCGACAGCCGATTATCAGTCACCTAAAGACAGAACCACAGCGATCTCCCACTCCTCTTGGTGGGAGGAGCACTCTCTCCCAAATCTTGTCTCCTTTATTTCAATTATTAATTTATTTATTTTGGTGTTAGAAATTGAACCCATGGCCTTTCGCACGCTGGGCAAGTTCTCTGTTACTGAACTAAGCCCTTTCAGCTGCTTATATGGTTTAGCACTTACTCTGCATATAGAAGTTGCTTAGTCTAATTTCCCTCTACCAACCCCCTCACCCCTCACTCCCAAAATAAATTGGTTAAGAGCTCTTTACTATGAACATTAACCATAACTCTGGTTACTTTAAGGCAAAATGGGATCACAAAAGTAACCGTGTGTGTGTGTCCCAGGAATTGAACTCAGATTGTCAGTCTTGGCAGCCAGTGCCTTTAACCTCTTAACAATCTCACTGGCCCCAGTTAGATTTATCAAAAGCTCCAGGAAAGACAGAGACGGACGAGGAATCAGGTGTGAACAGGATCCCTAGAAACAGGAAAGGTAGAAGGTAGACCGTAGTCATCTCCAAGGAGTGGCTCGTTAAGGACACCAGTAGCTATAGACCTTGTAGCTACTCTCCACAGGTACACTAGACACTGCTGCTGACAATGGCGTTGGGGACCTTACGGACGGTTGTGATCCGAGTGGTGGCTGTACTGTTGTCCAAGCAAGAAGCTGTGTGACTGAGTGGAGGAGAGAAGAGGTGAGACAGCCTCCTCTCTATAGAGAAGACCTCTAACGGGTACAGTGAGACATGGGGGAGGCCTAGCTACTACGGCCAACGCAACCTACGCTGTGGAGCCTGGGAACAGACGCCGGAGCATGGGGGTGGGGGTGGGGGTGGGGTTTGGTGGGGGCAAGACATGGAGATGTGTTTCCAGTTCCTTCTACTTGGTCTCTAAAATAAAAGGTTAATTATTGATAATTAAGAAAGGAAATAGCTTGGAAGGCTTGAAAGCAAGCAAGAAATAGGATCGGCTGTTAAATTTTAAAGGTTGAATTTTTATTCCTGTTTTTAAAAGTATTCCATGATAAAAATCAAAAGAGAAGAATCCTTTAAAATGTTTACTAATGAACAAAAGCAGGAGGTAGATACTGCTGCCTGTTTTTCTCAGGGGACACCGGTCCATTAAGAGCAGCTGGTGTAAGCACGGGTTGGATCCCACAGACCCTGTAACACCTGTCTGTTTACCTTTCTTTGGAAATGAAGAGAACAGGACAACTGACATCTGCTTGTTCTGAGCTGAAAGTCCACACTGTCATATTGATTCCGGTGATCTTCAGAGAGAGAAGCGACCCTTTCAGAGCAGAGGGAAACTTAACCAAGGGCAGTGCACTGTAGCGGGCGGTGCAGAGAAGAAAGGATGGTGCCCGGAGCAGGAGGTTCACGCTTACGGAACTCATATGGTGTTTATGGCAGGGGAAGTAACCTTCACAGGGATGTAAATAGCGCCAATATCCTGCCAGGCCTGAATCTGTGAGCAGCCCTGGGGCTGTTTCTAGGCGAGTGTTTTGAAACTTACCACCCACTGATTTTCAACCCTGACCCAGTGGCGCAATGTTGATATTCCCCTGATAGAAATGTGGGCCTGAGGCTAGAGATGAGGCAGCTTTCCCGGGAGTAGGTCCCACATTGCCCTGATAGTGGTACAACTGACTTATAAGTAAGTAAATTTGACTGGTAATTTTATTTTTAGCACAAAATCATGCTAGGTCTTAAAATGTCTCTTTGGCCCAGCTCCCGGGCGGGCGTACTTCATACATCACCTGCTGTGAATGCTAACAAGAATATGAACGCGTTCAGTTGAAAATCTCGATTGGCTCTCCTCTCCCTCAGCCTGATTTCTCGGGAGCTGCTCTGATTTCTTTAGACTGGTGACTGTGGAGTCCTATTAGGCTCTGCCAGGACACCTTGATTGGAACTCTGTCCCATGTCCAAGGATGGACTACTGGTGGTAATGAATTATATGAATTGATGAAAGCTGATAGCACAAATGTCATATTGCTGACTGCAGGCATTTAGTCTAGGCCCACCCCACAGTTACCAGGCAACAGCCAGGTGTGCCTGACTCACTATAAAAGGGGCTGCTTGCCCCCCTCCTCTCTCTCTTGCTCTCTTCTCTTGTTCCCTTACCCTCTTCCTCCTCTCTCCCCATTCCCCTTCCCCATCTCTCTCCACGTGCTCATGCCTGCCTCTACCTCTCTCTCTCTCTCCCTCTCCCTCTCCCTCTCCCTCTCTCTCTCTCTCCCTC